AACGAAAGAGAAAGAGAGAAAGAGAAAGAAAGGGAGAAAGAGGAAGCGAGAAAAAGAGAGAGAAAAAAGAGAAAGAGAAATAAAGAGAGAAGAAGAGAGAAAGAGAAAGAAAGAGAGGAGAGGGAAAGAGGGAGAGAGAAAAAGAACGAAAGAGAAAGAGAGAAAGAGAAAGAAAGGGAGAAAGAGGAAGCGAGAAAAAGAGAGAGAAAAAAGAGAAAGAGAAATAAAGAGAGAAGAAGAGAGAAAGGGAAAGAAAGAGAGGAGAGGGAAAGAGGGAGAGAGAAAAAGAACGAAAGAGAAAGAGAGAAAGAGAAAGAAAGGGAGAAAGAGGAAGCGAGAAAAAGAGAGAGAAAAAAGAGAAAGAGAAATAAAGAGAGAAGAAGAGAGAAAGGGAAAGAAAGAGAGGAGAGGGAAAGAGGGAGAGAGAAAAAGAACGAAAGAGAAAGAGAGAAAGAGAAAGAAAGGGAGAAAGAGGAAGCGAGAAAGAGAAAAGAAAAATAGAGAAAGAGGAAGAGGAAGAAAGGGAGAAAGAGGAAGCGAGAAAAAGAGAGAGAAAAGAAAGAGAAATAAAGAGAGAGAGAAAGAGAGAAAGAGAAAGAGAGGAGAAAGAGGGAGAGAGAGAAAAGAGAAAGAGAAAGAGAGAGAAAAAGAGAGGAGAGAGAGGAAGAAAGGGAGAAAGAGGAAGCGAGAAAAAGAGAGAAAAGAGAAAGAAATAGAGAAAAAGAAAGAGAGAAAGAAAGGAGAGAGAGGGAGAGAGAAAAAGAAAGGAAGAGAAAGAGAGAAAGAGAAAGTGAAAAAAGAAATAGAGAGAGAGAAGGAAAGAAAAGAGAGAAAGAAAAAGAAAGAGAGGAAGAGGTAGAGAGAAAAAGAGAAAGAAAAACAAAGAGAGAAAGAAAGAGAGAGAGAGAGAAAAAAGAGAAAGAGAAAGGGAGAGAAAGAGAGGGAGTGAGAGAGAGGGGGGAAAGAAAAGAAAAAAAGAGAGAGAGATAGAAAGAGAGTGAGTCATTCTGGATGGTGTCACGAGCACCATATTAATGCAATAAACACATGAATTAATAAAATAATTTCAACAGAGGGATTGCTTTGCTTAAAGACCGAATTGCCCCTCCCATTTTGGTCGCTGAACGAGGACTGCCTCTGTTCTTCCTCCACTGCTCTCCCTCCCTCCCTCCCTCCCCCCCTCTCCTTGCTCCGACGGACATTCACGCATCTCGGTTTGTTCATTCAGATGTCGGTTTGATGCCGGGGACAATCGGGCTGTCGGCTGCTCCTCCTCCGTCCTTTCTCAGTTCACGGATCACTTCTAGAAATTCTTATTCATTTATTCGTTCTTTCTTTTTAAACGGGATATTTAAAGCAGCCTCAACCTCATTTGGAAGAAACCAATCTTGACATCATGAATTGCAAAGGAAAAAAAAACTGGGAGGAGACCAGCAATAAACCTCCCATCCACCCCTCCCCTCCCCTCGCTGTCCCTCAGGTTCAAGCTAGACTGCTCCTAGGCAAGGAGGCTCCATCAATATCCCTCTTAGTGCCTAAGAAGCTACCCGTATGCTGGGGATTTTTTTACATTGGGGGTTTCTGTCAGCGCTGAGGATTAAAAAGATTATCGCTCTGTCTCGAGCTTCGCTGAGTGGTCTCTCCTCCTCCAGGGTCCTTAACGCCCGAGTAGGACGGCTTCAAGCCCTTCTTAGCGACCCAACTTTCTGAGCGCAGGTTTCGCTCTCGTGACTGGCTGCAACGGGGTGAGCGGGACCTAAAGGAGCAATGGAGAAGTTGCGGGCTGGACTAGAGGACCTCCAAGGTCCCCTCCCCACTCGGTTAGTCTGTGTTTCCATCGGGCTGAGCCTTTGATCTTCCCCAGTTAAATGCCATTTCTGTTCTTTCCTCCTTTCTTTCTTTCTTAATGTTCCCGAGCCCTTCCTGAGCCAGGATTCTTTCTTTTTTTCTTTCCTTCGTTCTTCGAGTGAAGAGTTCAGCCAAAGAATTCTGTATTAGAATACTGACTTGAAAACTTGTGTTTTCTGAAAATCTGGGACTTCCCTCCTTCCTTCCTTCCTTCCTTTCTTTTCTTCCCTTCATTTCTTGCTTGCTTCCCTCTCTATTCCTTCCCTCCTTCTTCCCTTTTTTCTTTGTTTCCTTCCTTCTCTTTACTCTTTCCTTCCTTCCCTTTTTATTTTCTTTTTTCTTTCCTCTCTATTCCTTCCTTTTCTTCCCTTCTTTTCTTCCCCCCCTCTGTATTCCTTCCTTCCTTCTCTATTCCTTCCTTCTCTCGCTACTCCTTCTTCCATTCCTCTCTACTCCTTCCTTCCATCTCTCTATTTTTCCTTCCTTTTCTTCCCTCTATTCCTTCCTGCCATCTTTACTCCTTCCTTCCTTCCTCTCCATTCCTTCCTTCCCTTTCTATTTTCCTTTTTTCTTGCCTCTCTATTCCTTCCTTTTTTCCTTTCTTTTCTTGCTTTTTTCTTCCCTCTCTATTCCTTCATTCCTTCTCTATTCCTTCCTTCTCTTTACTCCCTTCCTTCCATCCCTTTCTATTTCTTCCTTCCTTTCTCTATTGCTTCCTGTCCTCTTTATTCCCTTTCCTTCCTTCCTTTCTTTCTTTCATCCCTCTCTATTCCATCCTGCCTTTACTCCTTCCTTGCTTCCATCCCTCTATTCCTTCCTTCCTTCTTTCTCTATTCCTTCCTGCCCTCTTTATTCCTTCCTTTCTTTCATCCCTCTATTCCTTCCTTCCTTCTTTCTCTATTCCTTCCTGACCTCTTTATTCCTTCCTTGCTTCCATCCCTCTATTCCTTCCATCCTTCTTTCTCTATTCCTTCCTTCTCTCTTTATTCCTTCCTTTCATCCCTCTTTCTCTATTCCTTCCTGCCCTCTTTACTCCCTTTCTTCCTTTCCTACATCCCTTTCTATTCCTTCCTTCCTGCCCTCTTTATTCGTTCCTTTCTTTCATCCCTCTATTCCTTCCTTCCTTCTCTCTCTATTCCTTTCTGTCCTCTTTACTGCCTTTTTCTTTCTTTCTTTCTTTCTTCCATCCATCCCTCTCTATTCCTTCCTTCCTTTTTCTCTATTCCCTGCCCTCTTTACTGCCTCTTTTCTTTTTCTTTCTTTCTTTCTTCCTTCCTTCCATCCATCTCTCTATTCCGTCCTTCCTTCCTTCTTTCTCTATTCCTTCCTGCCCTCTTTACTCCTTTCCTTCCTTCCTTCCTTCCTTCCTTCCTTCCTTCCTTCCTTCCTTCCCTCCCTCTACCAAAGAGCTGAGCAAAAGAATCGCATATCTGAACCTGGGCTTAATGGGCCTCCCTCCACACACACACACACTTCCTTAGAAGACTGGAGTGCCGTCCAAAGGGCCTTGCAGCTGGGTTAATGCGTTCGATTGTGGCTCGAGCAAACAAGCCAGAGACATTGCGTACTGCGTTTCTGCCAGGGAACGTAAGTTTCCACTATCCCTCCCACCCTCCCAGGTCACAGGGGGGTCCCTTGCCCCCTCCCTGCCAGCCCCGGCCTGTGCCCGTTGCGCTCGCAGCCCTCCCCTCCGTGCACAATCAACACGGGAAAGTACAACGCATCCTGGTAGCACGGGGGGCTCTCCAAGGGCTCCGTCTCGATGTTGCTGCCCACCTGGCTTCCACTCAGGCTCCGGAGAATCCCCCCGCATCGCCGGGCGCCGCTCAGCGAGAAGCGGCTGCAGCTAAACGGCAAGCGGGCGTAGAGGGCCCGGGTCCCCCGCGAGGGCAGGGAGTTGCTGCTGACAGTCCGGCGACAGCGTTGGCAGCTGCGGAGGTAGGCCGCGCCCGCCACTGTCGTGGTGTCCATCAACACGGCCTCGGAGTAGCTGGGCACCAGCTGCTGGTTGGAACGGATGTGCCATTCCAGTTCGGTCATATCCACCGTGTTGACGCGTGAGATTCGACGGCCGTAAGTCCCGGCGGCGTCCAGCGGGCTGGGCCCGTCGTCCGCCCCAAAGAGTTTCTCGACGTGATAATGTACATTGGCTGTACGGTATTCGGACAAAACTCTCAGCGGCCAGGATAGCAGGAGGAAAGAGGCCAGCCAGAAGACACTCCGGCGTGTGTACCACGGTGGACGCCCCGGATCTGGGAAGACTAACATGTGTTCCTTAAAGTCCACGTTTTTGAGGTGCATCCCTTCGCGGGCCTCCATGTAGTCGTCCAAACCCTCGTTTTCCCCGAAAAACCGGGCCCTTTGAGTCAGATACGCAGCTTCCGCCTCCCCCGAGGCAAAACTGAAGCATTTCGTAAAGCGGAGTTTGGTCACGGGGTAATCGGAGAGGCCCAACAGTTCCTTGGAGACGTCCTTCACCCCATGGCCTGAGTAGTCAAACTCCGTCTCCGAGACGTGCGTGTTGACGCGCTCGTGGTACACCTGGGTGGTCGTGTAAGCGTCCCCGTTGCGATAACGCGTCACCTGCCTCGTGCGGCGGATGTAGTGGTAGCTGACGGCCTTCCACCAGATGCAGGGCGTGGCCTGCTGCATCCGCTGGACTTTCTCATAGACGCTCGCCGTGTCCACCCGGAACTGCATCTGCCCCTTGGCGAATCGGTGCCAGCACTCCACCAGGTACACCACATACAACATGCCCAAGAACGCCAGCGGGATGTAGATGTAGCCGTTGGAGCACGGGCTGTCATGATACACCAGCGACGCCCCTCGGTAGGAGCCGTCGTAGTTCAGGCGGGTCACCGTCGAGAGACGGCACCAGGCCATGACGCCGAAGCAGCCGAACATTAGGAGGGTGAGCACCAGACATTTCCAGTGGGACTCCCGGCACAGCGAGCTGCTCAGAGACTGTTTGAGAGGACGTTGCTGCAAGTCGAGGGAGAGAAAGGGAAAGAGAAGAGAGTAGGGAAGAGGGTTACAGACCTGTCCCTTCCCAGAAAGATCTGAGATCACACCCCACCACCACCAAACCAGTACAGGGAGTCCTCCGCCTACACAGCTGCAAATTTACGGTCTGATAAATTGTTGAAATTTACGACTTTCCTTGGCCCCTTTGTTAAGCGAATTGCCGCGTTTGTTAAAGGAGTCACCCGGGAGGGTTAAATGACTCGGATTTCCCCTTGCCGGAAGGTCGCAAAAGAGGGAAATCACGTGACCCAGGGACACCCGCGACCGTCGTAAATGCGAGTCCACGGTCCAGCCTCCGCATGTAAATCTCGCGACCACGGGGATACCCCAGTGCCAAAAAAACAACAACCCCAAAATGGTGGTAGGTCACTTTTTTTAGTGCCATTGTTGTCACTTCAAACGGTCGCTAAGGGAACCGTTGTAAGCCGAGGACTAGCTGCTAACCTTCATTCCATTTCACGGTGGGCCCCCGTGTTTCTAACCCAGGGAGCGAACGAAATGGCATGCAAAATTGAACCCTTGAAATGGTGCCAATTTCCTCGGCCTTTCCGTATTCCAGGATCACAGAAGGCGCCCCCCCCTCTCCTCGCTCCCCCACTTAACAACCAGTTTGGGGCTGACATGCCAGACACCCTGCAATTGTGCTTTCAGACACACATCGCGCCCTTCGCACCGGGGGCGTGGAGTCCAGACATTAACAAGGCCACATTTTGGGGATATAAACAGGACGCTGAAGCCAGACAAAATAAGTCTCAGCATCTCTTCCCCACGGAAGCCGAAAGGCACTCGCGAGGAAGCTACGGCTCTATGGTCTGCTTCCCCACAGCCAGGATAGACTGCTTCTGTACAGGGAGGTTCCATTTCACTGGGACCACCTGCCATATAACATATCTAGCTGTAAGCAAGCTTGAGTGAAAGGGTTAGAAATAGGCTGTACTTAAGTTCCTGGAAGTATCCCTGCCCCTAGCTGGGGGAGAGAGACAGAGAAAGAAAGAAAGAAAGAAAGAAAGAAAGAAAGAAAGAAGGAAGGAAGAAAGGAAGAAAGAAGGAAGGAAGGGAGGAAGAAAGAAGGGAGGGAGGAAGAAAGAAGGAAGGGAGGAAAGAAGGAAGGGAGGAAGAAAGAAAGAAGAGAGACAAATAGAGAAAGAGGGTGAAAGAGAAAGAGACACAAAGAAAGGAAAAGAAAGATGGAGAAATAGAGATAAAGAGAAAAGGGGGAAAGACAGATAAAAAAGAAAGAGAGGGAGAGAAAAGAGAAAAAAGGAAAGAAAAAAAGATAGAGAAAACAGAAAGAAGGAGAGAGAGAGAGAAAGAAACAGAGACAGAGAAAAGAAAGAGCAAAATAGATAAAGAGAAAGAGGGTGAAAGAGAAAGACAGATAAAAAGAGAGAGAAAAGAGGGAAAAAGAAAGAGAAAAAGAGAGAAAACAGAAAGACGGAACAAAGAGAGCGATAGAAAGAGAAAGAGAGAGACAAAGAGACAGAGAAAAGAAAGAGCAAAATAGATAAAGAGAAAGAGGGTGAAAGAGAAAGACAGATAAAAAGAGAGAGAAAAGAGGGAAAAAGAAAGAGAAAAAGAGAGAAAACAGAAAGACGGAACAAAGAGAGCGATAGAAAGAGAAAGAGAGAGACAAAGAGACAGAGAAAAGAAAGACAGCAAAATAGAGACAGAGGGTGAAAGAGAAAGACAGATAAAAAGAGAGAGAAAAGAGGGAAAAAGAAAG